TCATACTCTGTTGTGCCTCCTAGAGAAAGTTTAATCCCCCATGCCATTCTTAAGTCGGCAAGCTGACTGAAGCTACATGAGGTATAAACTGAATAAAATTTTAATAATTATTATTAACTATATACTTGCCATATAAAGACATAAAAATTTTACTGGAGGAAAGACTAAGGCTACAATGAGTTTAAAAAAATAATGTGGGCATATTTAAAAGTATCTTTCCATATCGTTTTAATAGGTTAATATAAAAACATAAACATGTCAAATGTACTACCTTAAAAATTGTTAATTTTATAACAATATGCAAACAAACATTAGATGCAAATGACAAGCCAAGTGTTCTAAAATACAAAATAAAAATCTGTTGTTTCCATTTCTATTGCATGTGATTCTTTTCTATAAGCAATTTTTAAAACTCTTACCTTTTATCATAGTCTCTACTGGTTAAACTTAAAAAAATAAAGGTAAAGGCAGACTATCACCACAGAAGGTATTTAATAAACTTCCCTCATTCATCAAGGAGCATTTAAACAGACTTAAGTGTTAACATACAAACCACATAGTCTTCAGACTAGTTATGACATCATTTCCATCAATAATGCACTGTCAATTTCCATCACACTATCAAAAGGGGGTAACGTAGAGTTTAAAAAATTGCCCTAATTTTTTATCTTTAGTGAAAACCACCTCCTCTTGTGACAGATGGACATGAAAGCATTTTTAAAAAACTTACCCCTAACCCTGCAAAAGACTATAGTAGCGTGAGTTTGACTGGCCTAATAGGAACCTGTTGACTTTTCTCTGCATATGTCAAACAATCCTGTCAGATTTGACCTAAATTCTTTCCTTTGGTTAACACATTTGGTAGTAAGTTAACAAACGAGCAAGCCGTATCTGAATTTCCTTTTAAATATTCCAGCTGAGATTTCATGGCCAGTTGCCTTTCTGATTAAGAGTGAAGAAAAATGATAGGAACTGGGATATTTTTTTCTTAAGGCATAATTACAAAGGATTTATGCAATCTTAAAAGCTTGCTTCACAAGTTATGAATACTGGGATAAATTCTGATCCTATGCAAACATTATGGGCAGATTTGTTCTCTCTCTTGATGGGGTCATTGTGGTGGTGGGAAGAGGGCTGAAGAACTGGGAAAGTAAAAAACAGAAAACACACGCACACGCGCGCACACACACACACACACACACACACACACACACACACAACAACAACTCCACAACTGACTGTCGAAACTTTGCTTTCATGGTGCAATATTCTAAAGGTATGATCCTGGCACACTGAACAAAGAAAACATTGATGGAGAACAGCCAAATAATGCTTTAAAGTACTAATCTACATAGAATACAAAGTATTTTTTAAAAAGGAAGTATCCTTACTCAATTCATTGATAAAGAAACAAAACCACTCAAATTCAATTACCCAAACATTAAATGAAATCTGAGAATTTTTAGTTGTAGAAAAAGGCCTGGGCTTTCTTGCTTCTAATCTAGTGGAGAAACTAAACCTAGCCACAATTCTATTATAATCCAATCTGTGCCAACTTTGGTTCAAAAAACCCGTAAAGGAAAGTAATTCCAATGGAATCACTATGTTTCTATAGAATAGGATTATTCAATAAAGTGAAATAAGAACAGTACAATCATTATATTGTAACTGCTGTTTTTGTCTGTATTTACCATATAACTACAAATTCAATGACAATGAATAAGGATGGTGTTTTCTTCTCCTAGTCAAGCAGAGGCTGGCTTCAGTATTGTATTGAACATAGGTATTCAATACTGAATTAGTAAGTAAAAATTTTAATCACATAAAAATTCTAAAAAGGAGGCTGATAAAAGTATAGAAAAATAGCAATTACTTTCAGTAATTAGAAATAAAAATAAAACATGCTATACAATATTTTAAAATATTACAAATAACATTTTTTTTTTTTGAGACAGGGTCTTGCTCTATCACCCAGGCTAGAATGAAGTGACATGATGTCGTCTTACTGAAACCTCCGTCTCCTGGGCTCAAGTGATCCTCCTGCTTTAGCTTGTCAAGTAGCTGGGACTCCAGGCACATGCCACCCCACCTGGCTAATTTTTATATTTTTAATACAGACAGGGTTTCACCACATTGTGCAGGCTGGTCTCTAACTCCTGAGCTCAAGCAATCCTCCTGCCTAAGCCTCCCAAGGGCTGGGATTACAGATGTGAGCCACTGTGCCTAAGATTCTTATCTGATCAGCTTTAACTTAAAATTAGTAATGAAATATTTAAAAGACCCTTAAAGTAAACAGCATCTAATTTGGATTAAGGTCAATTGTTAGCAAGTAAAAACCACAAAGAAGCCAATATACTAACATTCAAACTCACTTTTTTCACAAAGTCTCAATGGTTAAATTATATTTTACTTACAATTTTATAAAAAGTTTACAAAGGTTTAAAACACAGGAAACATGGTCCTTTTAATTTATTCAGATAGGTATTGGAAATAAAAGCATCCTGGCCAGGTGTGGTGGCTCACGTCTGTAATCCCAACACTTTGAGAGACCATGGCAGGCGGATCACCTGAGGTCAGGGGTTCGAGACCAGCCTGACCAGGTTTCACAGCCTGGTGAAACCTTATCTCTACTAAAAATACAAGAATTCACAAGGTGTTGTGGCAGGCACCTGTAATCCCTGCTAGTCAGAAGGCTAAGTAAGGCAGGAGAATAGCTTGAATCCAGGAGGTGGAGGTGGAGGTTGCAGTGAGCCAAAATTGTGCCACTGCACTACAGCCTGGGCGACAGAGCAAGACTCCATCTCAAAAATAAATAAATAAATAAATAAGCAAGCAAGCAAGCATCCTTTGAGAAGCAGTACAACATCTGGAATAAGCCTGATAAACAAGGGCTCAAAATTTTGGTTCTGCCTCTTACTAACTTCCTAAGTGTAAGTCACGTAATTTTTTTTGAGAATAAAGCATGTTTGTGTACATATGTATGTGTGGCGTGAAACAGAAGTCATCAAAGTTCATTCCCCCTCATTTGGATATTCAACTACTCCAGCCCAAGTCACTGAAACAGCCATTCTTTTCATATACACTAGAGTGGCAACTTGGTCATTTAGGGATCTAAATGAGAAGGTCTATTTCTGGATGCACTACTCTGTTCCACTGTTCTATTTATCTATACTTGTGCCAATACCACAGTTTTAGTTATTGTAGCTTTTTAAGATCTAGTATCTGGCAGTATTAAGTTTTCTAACTTTGCTTTTCAAAACTGTCTTCACTACTTTGGGGTCTGCTTTTCCATTTTCATTTATCCATCAGCTTATCAATTTCTTTTTAAAACCTTAACTAATTTTGTTGATAGCATTCAATCTTTAGACCAACTAGAAGAAAGGTGGTATCTTTTTTTTTTTTTTTTTTTTTTTTTTTTTGAGACGGAGTTTCGCTCTTGTTACCCAGGCTGGAGTGCAATGGCGCGATCTCGGCTCACCGCAACCTCCGCCTCCTGGGTTCAGGCAATTCTCCTGCCTCAACCTCCTGAGTAGCTAGGATTACAGGCACGTGCCACCATGCCCAGCTAATTTTTTGTATTTTTAGTAGAGACAGGGTTTCACCATGTTGACCAGGATGGTCTCGATCTCTTGACCTCGTGATCCACCCGCCTCGGCCTCCCAAAGTGCTGGGATTACAGGCTTGAGCCACCGCGCCCGGCCCGAAAGGTGGTATCTTTATAACAGGGAGTCTTTCAAACTAAAATACAGTGTGTCTTTCCATTTATTTAAGTCATCTTTAATTTCTATCAGCATTTTTGGTTTATAATGTAAAAGATCCTGCCCTTCTTCCATTGGATCTATTCCTAAGTATATCACAACAAAACCAACTCCAGTGAAAATATTCCCTACATATAAGATACAATTTTTCAATGCCATCCCAAGAGATATATGCTACTTTAATTTTTATGTTATTTGGCTAACACTGAAAACCTCTCATGAAGCACATCTGCCTGTATTTTAAAAGCTACGTTTTGATCCTTAGGGTACCTTATACGCATGGTGGGATGATGTAAATTAGAGGTGAATTCTTGGTAGATTAAAAGAATTTTAAAAATAATCTCTACCAGCTTTTAGCAGTAACTAGAAATTATTTCAATTCAGTGTCTCCATGTGGAGGCTACTGAAAATTTCAGTGAGACAAAACTATTTTTGCGTTGACTATACAAAGTATAACATCTGGCTGCCAGGGATTTAATGCCAATAGAACCCCCACAATCATTATGACAAGCAAAAACTGTTGCCGCACATTTGCAAACTGTTCAAATCCTTGTGAAGTCTACCAGGCACTTTAAACAAGTGCCCTGAGTGATCCTGATGCCAAAACACAGGATCAGATCAAGTATTTTCTAGTCCTAAGTTTGTGATTATCTTAGCTAAGTAAATTAACTGGTGAAAACCTTCTCAGACATTAGAACCACAATGACACTGATAATGTTATTAAAGGATAACAAATAAAACATTAGTGACCCAAAACAAGTACAACCAAGATCAAGACATTTTTATGCAGAAAACCAAAACATCACAAATTCTTCCATACAACTAGTAATTTCTTCATATTTCCTACTCATCACCAAATAAACTACTTCTAGGCCTACCAAAGGGTTGTAGCTGCTTTTCAATTTATATTACCATGAGAACCTGTAAGATTCTGATGAGAGTAGAGTGTGCAGCTCTATGCACAGTCTCTAAATTGCCTGCCTAAGATTAACAAATATTTTTATTTTAGGGAATACATAATATATGTGCTTAGACAAGCATTTTTATCTAAATCTCAAGAATAACTAAACTGAGAAAGGAACCTAAAAAGCTGGTAATCCCATACATACTTTAACAACAACAAAAAAAGCATTAACTTACACCGTAATGAGGTGATCATTAGATTCTCAGAGGCTAATTACAGTAAGTTGTTTATATACTTTGGAAAATTGTTCAGTTCCCTAAAGAATAGCATAACGGAAGCCGGGCGCGGTGGCTCAAGCCTGTAATCCCAGCACTTTGGGAGGCCGAGGCGGGTGGATCACGAGGTCAAGAGATCGAGACCATCCTGGTCAACATGGTGAAACCCCGTCTCTACTAAAAATACAAAACATTAGCTGGGCATGGTGGCGCATGCCTGTAATCCCAGCTACTCAGAAGGCTGAGGCAGGAGAATTGCCTGAACCCAGGAGACGGAGGTTGCGGTGAGCCGAGATCGCGCCATTGCACTCCAGCCTGGGTAACAAGAGCGAAACTCCATCTCAAAAAAAAAAAAAAAAAAAAAAAAAAGAATAGCATAACGGAAAAAGGAAGAATAGTATTACCAGTCAGAATTGGATGCTAGCCTTAATTCTGTTATTTACTGGTTTGGGAAAGTCTCTGTATCAACTGATCTTTAATTTCTTCATCTTTAATGAACAAACCACTCTGACAGTCTATGCCAACAATTACGATGAAATGAAATAATGAATATGAAGTTGCTTTTAAAAAAACTATCAAATGCTATTCAGTTACGAAGAACTGTAATTGCTAAAGGATAACAGTATTTTCAGTAAACATTTCAAATAATTTATATTGTTTTTTGCTTCCACTAATGACTACATGTGAAACTCAGAAAAATGGTAAGTGGCCTTACTATCAACTTGGCCACATTAATTTTACTTTTTAAATGTTTTATTATAAGAGAAGCACACGACTAAGTCTGCCAAAAGCCAGCAATTTAAACAGAATGATTCTGAAGGTTTATATTATCTTGCCTGTTATTAAAATTTTCTGTAAATGGGAGAAAAGACAGGTTATGAAATGCTGTAATCCACAACAAACTAAAGCACAGTCATTTACTTGCTGAATGCATGACATTAATGAATCTTCAGAATTGATAGTCCCCTTTCAATAAATTTTACTGAGTTCAAAGCTCACATTACACTTTAGCACCCTTTTGCTTAAGAAAAGAAAAAAAAGTTCAAAAATGAGGAAGTACAGGGCAAGAAGTCCCTAGTCTGTCAAAGCCTAAGTTAAATAACAAAAATACAAACACTGCTTTATCCCTAGTAGTTCCAAGTCAATCAGATTACTATGAGCATAAAGACTGGAGTAAAAAAATATATATATCAACACTGTATTTTAAAAGTGTTATTAGAAGAAGAAAAAGAAAGGAAACAAGGAAGGAACTAGCCAGCTAACTCCAGGTAGAAAAATAAGGTAATATTAGAAATACTTAATGTTCTTCACAAGGAGCTGAAGCTGTCAGTCTATAATGCAAAACTGCCAGCCCAGTGATAATTATTTCCCACAATTTTTATTTAAAAAAGATGCTGACTTCTATCCTAAACAATGACGTAAAAAAAAACTGCAGGTATACTGCCCCATCCTATAGATGAATACAATGTGAGAAAATAACTCAATATTTAATACTAAACCACGAGTCACCTTAAAAAGCTGCTGGGGTGGCTGGGCACGGTGGCTCACACCTATAATCCCAGCACTTTGGGAGGCCGAGGCAGGTGGATCATGAGATCAAGAGATCAAGACCATCCTGGTCAACATGGTGAAACCCTGTCTCTACTAAAAATACAAAAATTAGCTGGGCATGGTGGTGCGCGCCCGTAGTCCTAGCTACTCGGGAGGCTGAGGCAGGAGAATTGCTTGAACCCAGGAGGTGGAGATTGTGGTGAGCCGAGATCACACCATTGCACTCCAGCCTGGGCAATAAGAGTGAACCTCCATCTCAAAAAAAAAAAAAAAAAAAAGTTGCTAGGGCACCAACGTTGTTCTAGAAAGTAAAGGAAATAATCATGCATTATTCTGATTCTTACATGAACTGTCTTTCAGGGTAACCTCACAACTGATGAAGGATAGTTATTCTTCTTCTTCAAAGTTCCAGATAAATGATTAAAGAATGACACAATTAACGCATTACCATTTTTGCAACCTCTGGGAAAAAAAATTAATCATCAAAGGCTGCTAAAACCATTAGGTGGATCAGGTTGGTCATCTCAAAATGAAGACAACCAGATACGTGTCTTCTGATATGGTGTAACAAAAAGTAACAGCACCCCATGTTGTGAAAATAAACCAACCAACCCATAAACTATCTGACGAAGCCTCTAGATCGAATTCCACTTTGCAGAAAAGAGACATAAGAACATTTTAAATACCACTATGGGGAAGCGATCAGTAAAATCAAGTGTGGGAAAATCAACAAAGTTTCTTCATCAAATTTTAAATGGAAAGGGGAAAAGAAGATGAACAAACAATTACACATTAAAAGACACATCAAACAAATGCAATGTATGAACCTCATTTTGACTGTGATTCAAATGAAACAGTTGTTAAAGACACTTAAGTCAATTAGGGAGATTAGAGTTAATAAGAAATCATTTAAAAATGTATGATATACTGTAGTTGTTTAGAATCTGATATTACACAATAAAAAATGGAAAAATAAAATTATTTTTTCATGCATCTAACTTTAATATATTTGAGTAAGCAACAGAGTTGCAAATTTGAACAAGTATTTTAGGTTTTTATAAAAAAATCAACACCCCAAAACTATGCATTGAAATTCTTACACTTCAATCAAAAAGTGATTTACTTAGTCAGTAGGTTAAATGCCTACTACCTTAAAAAACGAAAACTTTTCTTCTGAAAGAATAGCACAGAATCTTGCTATTAGGCATTTTCTGTGAATCTCAAATAGCTAACTTAACAAAAGAACAACTTTGGGAATGCAGATCTCAAGCCTTACAGGTAACTGTAATGGTTTTAACATTCACATCTTAAAATCTCCCAGGAAAATAATCTGGAATTAATTCTAACCAGTTCTAATGAGAATTGAGAGAACTTATCTCTATCTTATGATTTCATATTCTTGATATGTGAGCTCTGTAAAATTACTTTAAAAATATGCAAATTCCATTTCCATAGGTATTTTATACCATCAGCCCTGAGACTTGATTCATAAAGAAATCCACTTCATGGATACATAATTAAAATACACATATTTTTTGATCGGACAGCATGAAAGCCTTGCATCATGATTCAGTCACAGGGAAGTGCAGAGTAAACTGTTTCCATGAACAGTATGCAAAGAGAAAATTTATGAAATCCTTCTTAAGTTACTTTCAACCTGGTATGAGTCTATTTGTTGTTAACAATGTTGCCAGTCAAGCTATGGGAAACTGGGGGTCGCAAAAAGAAAATAACACAGATAATTACTAGTTCCAATCAGAGGTGTATTAAAACATCAGATTTCATGCTGAAGCTATGTTAGTCTGTAACACAGAACTGCTGGCCCAGTGTTGATTATTTCCCACAATTGACCAGAATTCCTTCCCTAAGCATCTATTATTAGGCTGGTTTCCTTACCATCTAAAAAAAAGGCAGAGAAGCATATCTAGACTGCTGTTTAATCATAGAGACATCTAAAAAGTCATTTCTATCCAATTTCTAAGTACGCTATGTAGAACCATATTTACTGCCATTTATACAGACACTAAGGCACAACACAGCAGTAAAAATTGAATAAGAATCTGATCTGAAACTTACCCATGAAAAGATGACAGGACATGACAAAATCTTAACAATAAAACAGAAAACTATTATGATAGATCTAATCTTAGGTTTGTTATGTTCCAAATTTTTGTGTCCATCTCATAGGCATGTCTTATGAAGGCGGGGGGAATGCCTGAGCAGTAATAACAGAAATCAGGAGCTGAGCAGCTCCTGTGACTAAAAATTGATAAATGGAGAAAGGTATTAGGCTAAAGATTAGTATATCTACATATTTAATGCTACGAAGTGGATCTTAGGGCTCCATTTGAACAAATTAATTGGTTGTATATGTTCAGTATCCCCAAAATGAGCAAAGGCCCAGAATTTGGGGTGAAGGATAAGAACCATTAAAAAAAATCTAGCCCACTGTGCAATAACGTAAATCAAAATGAACATTGCAACAGATACCTTTGTTACATGGACATTTATTGTATTAATGAGTTTTTTTTTTTTTTTTTTTAAAGCTATACCCACATAATTGGAGGGGGCAGTCAAACATAACCACTAACTTTCAGTACATCTGCTTAAAAGTAGCATTACTTTTCAAAACGTAAGCTAATTTAACTTTTTCCAAACACATAAAAGTTGGCAATAGAATCCCTCAGTCTCAGCTGAATAACTAAAATTATAAAAATTCAAAATAAAGTTTTAAAAAAATAATTTCTTTGACAAGATAGGGATTCATACACAGCCTCTGATGTCGAAAATCCTTCAAAACGTATTATCTACATGGATAAATACATCCTGGAGAGTGAAACAAGGTAACCACCAATTTAATAATTTGGGAATAGGAACAATTTTAATATACAAATATAAACAAAGTTCTCAATGCTCCAACTTCAGGGGTGCAACAAGCCCAAAACATTTTTTTTCTTTAACATATCCAAAAGTAAGAGAAGTATATGGCCCAAGCCCATAAGCTTCCTTAAGTCACAAATATGCTAAATTCAAATCCACTGAAATAACTCTCTGGTAAAATGGCCAGGCATTAAAAGACCAAAGCAAAAACCAGTGTACTAACCTAGTTCAGTAGCTATGTAACTAATGCTTTTCTTATGGTGTGCAAATCTTTTGATAGTGAAATTTCTCTTTCACTATCATGTTTAAATAGTTGACTTTTCAGATGCTCTAAAACACACAAATCAAAAGCACAGACAAGAAAAAAACACACCATTATATTTCATAAAAGAAACATAAGAAACAATACGGGGTCTTTACCTTATTGTACATTAGACCCTCACTTTGAATTTTCAGGAAAGTAGAACTTTTTCAAAAGGCTAATATCTAAAAGCAAAAGCAATTTGGCATGTTTTATCCAACATTAAATATTTTACATATATTATAAACACACACACAAACACACATACATGTATACATACAAATAAAAAGGGTTTTGTTTTTTTTTTTACCTAAATGCAAACTGGATGAGGATCCATGTGATGAAAGTGATGGCGGTGGCGTAAG